AGGGGGCAGAGGAAGGGATGGCCAGGGAGGGTGTTCCCAGGGACAGTAGCATGCCTGCTGGCCTTCACTTCTTAGCCTTGCCCTGGGCAGCCACAGCTTCCATGGCTTTATGCACAGTAGCTTCATCCCCCAGGAATTGCATGGGCTTGATGGGCTTCAAGTTCTTTTCCAGTTCATAGACAATGCGAATACCAGTCGGCAGGTTCACCTCCATGATAGCCTCTTCAGAGAGACCCTCCAGATGCTTGACAATGCCCCAAAGGCTGTTGCCATGGGCTGCAGTCAGTACCCGTTTCCCCTCTTTGATCTGAGGAACTATTTCCTTCAGACTCTCACCAGAGGATAGCTGATCTTCAGTGAGGTCTGCATACCTGCAATTCTTACTGTTGTTGCTGTAGAAAAGATGGTTGGGCTCCATCGGAGGTGGTGGGACATCATAGGAGCGCCTCCAGATCTTCACCTGGGCCTCGCCATGCTTCGCAGCAGTTTCTGCTTTATTGAGGCCAGTCAGACCCCCATAATGCCACTCCTTGAGGCACCAAGTCCTCAATACTGGTAGCCGCATCTGATCAATGGCATCTAGCACTGTCCAGAGGGTTTGATCGCCCTCTTCCCTAGAGGGAAAGCAGATGTCAAACTCATAGCTAGCATCTCACAGAGCCTGCCCACTGCGCTTTGCTTCCTCATGGCCTACCGGGATTAGGTTGGCATCGTACCAGCTGCTGAAGTGATTCTCCAGGTTCCACGTGCTGTCACCACACCTGATCAATACTAGCTTGTAGGTGGCCATGGCGGTGGGCTGGGGATGCAGCCTATGTTTTGGATTCTTGCAAATAATTCCTATTTGTTTCATATGATATTCTCTGACTGGGACTTGCTATGTCAAGTAATAAGTTGGTGAGTGTGTCTTTGCCTGAAATCAGAAAGTCAGAATATTCTTGTAGCATATGTCATTGGGTAAAAACATTGTTACACTTGGGGGAGGAAAAGGAGTCCTTGTCTGGGATGTAGTAGAAGCTTTCAAAGCCCTAATGGCAAGAAGTTGTCACTGAGCTGTTATTATGTGAATAAGTATATAGTTGAGATGACAGGGGTCAGAAAGAGTCAACACCTCAAATTCTCTTCTTAGGGTCTTACTCTGAGACAGTGAGTTAAGTCTTTATGAAGTAGGTGTGGCGAAAGTCAGGGAAGCTGCAGACAAACCTCTGCCACACATAGGCTTTTTGCCAAGGGCCCCAGGGCCTCAAATCTCTCTTGTTTTCTTTCAGCCAGACTTGAGGGACATGGGGTGTGGGTAGAGAATAGTTTTAGTACTTCCACGAAGTTGCTGTAGGTATTACCGAAATGCTATTGACTTAGTGACTTTTACAGAACAGGACTGAGATATACCTCTGCCAGCCAGAGTCCACCTGAGAGTTTGTTTTGTGAAAGGAGGACCTGAGCTGTGTTGGGCAGTGAAAGCCCCTCTGGGAGAGGAATGGGATAACTGACCTTCACCTGCTTGCTCTGTCTCTGTTTGTTCTAAAATACCAGCCGAGCAAGCTCTATTCTTACTTGTTTCTGGGCCCTACCAGGTCCTAGCAAAGTGCTGTCAGAGACAAAAGGGCATGGGCTTTGGAGTTAGAGTTGGATTCAAATCCCCACATTTCCTTCTCTGAACACTTTTAAGCCTTTCTTATCTGCACGACTACTTCCCAAAGAAAGTCCTCGTCTGCCCTCGCATTCCCCTTGAACTGCATCACATAGTGTCTTCTCTTCTTAGCTAACTTCACTATATGCAAGTGTTCAACCTGCTGTCTTATCAGAGAGCCTTTTTTTTTTTTTTGTACTGGACTTAGAGCTCCTTGAGTGCTCTCGGCATGTTCTGGTTCCTCCAGCAGTTCAATTACACTAGGAGACATGTTTCTCTGGTTCTGTTTGCTCTTGTGTCTGGCTGCTGGGTTCCCAGCTGCTAGAGGTCTTTAGGGAGCGGCTATCCTGAGAGAGAGGCAGACACCATAGTCTGTCCATGGGGATAGGGGTGTGAGCCACTGGCCAGTTATCAATTCTTTAATAGGCCCCAAGTTGCAAGGGCTGTTAACACCTAGGACATTCCCTGCTGGGGGACAGAGACAACTCAGCTCCTCCTTGAGGACAGGGAGAATCCTCCCAGACCTCCAGCTCTTTCAGCAACACTGACATGGAAGTCACAGACCTGCCCCTCTGTGGCCCATGGCCTGTTCAAATTGACTCCTAGATACCACAGTATTCCTCCTTTTTCTTGCCCCAAGACTTTTTGAGGCTTGTTTCCAGGATCTCCTCTGGCACAGAGGTAGAAATTCCTGTTCCACTCCTGTCTTATATGCCCCCACCCGAGCCACTGGCACTGCCCACACCTTTCAGCCTTAGCAGCTCCCTAGCTTAGGAGAACAGAGCAGCTGGGCTGCAGCTGGATTGGGATGCATCGTGGATGTCACAGAACAAACTGCCATTTTCCCAGACTCCTCCTTACCCCTCTGGTCTAGAATCTGTAATATATTTTTTAATATTTTAATCTTTGGTCTCTTTGGAATTCATTTTGGTGTTTGAGAAAGGGCATTCTGGAACTGAGATCCTGAACAATGAGCCTGGTTCTGAGAGTGTGGAGAAAGCAGAATAGAGGACCAACCAACGAACACTGCGGGGCTAAGCAGACAGGAACAGGAAGCAAACCGGAAGGAGCAAGAAGCTCGTCCCTCTTTTCCCAAGAGAGAGAGAAAAAAGGAATCTTTTC